AACCGTGGACTACCATCAGGCCGAGCCTTCTGTTCTGTTTCTTTCGAGGAAGTCGTTTCGTTTCGTACTTTTCTTTCTTTAACCATTCCCTTCTTTCCAAACGACAGGTTCTTCCAGTCCGGCTGCCGGTCAGCATTAGCTCAACATGTTCTCCCTACGATTCCTCTTTTTCGTCACTCTTTTGGCGGCCGTTGTGCTAGCCGTTCCCGCCCCTGCACGCAAGAGGGGTCTCCAAAAACGTTCCTTCAAAGTTCCTAGGCAAATCAACAGGGCTCATCCTACCGGACCCAATGGCGCTGCTGCCATGAGGAAGGTGTTCAGGAAGTACAACTTCAAGGTCAAGGAAGACTTTATGGTCAAGGAGGGATTCATTTCCTTCACCAAGCAGAGCCAAAACGTGACCGCGGCCGCTGCTGCTGCTACTGGCGGCAACACCACCGGTACTGTTGCGGCTAACCCCGAGGAAAACGCCGCTCTGTTCTTGTCGCCCGTCGATGTTGGTGGTCAGACCCTGAACTTGGACTTCGACTCTGGCTCTTCCGATCTGTAAGCTCACACCTACCATGCGTTCATGCAGTGCAGTTTACTAACTCTTGCCTAGCTGGATGTTCAGTACCGAGCTCGACCCGCAGCTGATTGGTCAGCACACTGCTTTTGACGCGTCCAAGTCTACCACTTTCAAGGCGACAGCCGGTTCTCAGTGGAAGATCAGCTACGGTGATGGTTCCGGCGCTGCTGGTGTTGTTGGCACTGACACCGTCACCATTGGAGGTGTCAAGGTCGAGGGCCAGACCGTTGAGCTTGCAAACCAGGTGTCTCAGTCTTTCGTCCAGGATACCAACACTGACGGTCTTGTTGGTCTTGCGTTCTCCAGCCTCAACACTGGTGAGTTTTCTACATGCCGTACACATCGAGTTGCGCTAACAATGACTAGTCAATGATGGTACCAAGAAGACTCCCGCAAAGACCTTCTTCGACAACGTCATGCCTAACCTAGACATGCCCGTCTTCACTGCCGATCTCGACCCAGATGGCACCGGTGTGTACGAGTTCGGCAAGATTGACGCCACCAAGTTCGAAGGCGAGATGGCATGGATCCCCGTCAAGGCCGACACTGGCTTCTGGCAGTTTGGCTCTACCAAGTTCGCTGTCGGTGACCAGCTGTTCGAGAACCCTCAGGGCTCCGACGCCATTGCCGACACCGGCACATCGCTCCTCCTTGTCGACCAGCAGGTCGCTGAGGCATACTACTCGCAAGTCCAGGGTGCTCAGCTCAACGCTCAGGTCGGCGGTTTCATCTACCCCTGCGGCGCCACTCTCCCCGACATGAGCGTCGCCATCGGTGACTCTTACATGGCCAAGATCCCCGGTAGCCAGATCACCTTTGCCACTGTCGACGCAGCAAACACGACCTGCTTCGGTGGTGTACAGGGTAACCAGGGTGCAGGTCTGCAGATCTACGGCGACACCATGTTCAAGGCGCAGCTCGTCGCTTTCAACGGTGGTAACCAGTCCCTTGGTTTTGGTCAGAAGCCAGTCCCCAAATAAGCGCATATCCTTAGCAGAAGGAAGTACAGTTTGCTCGCATGTACATAGTTCGATATCCTTTGCACATTCACTTGAAAATATATGGGACAACCCAAAGCATAGCATGGCACAGCGTGGCCACAAGATAATGAATGAAGACATCAATAAATTACAAGAAGCCTTTGCATGTGACTCGTGGTCAAGATAACGTGCAGGCGCTAGTGTGTAGATTGAGGAAGGTGCAACTCTTGCATTTGACTCGCGTTCCTCACTGGTCTCATTATCAAAGAATAACATTGATATTATTGCCCATGCGAAAATCCCGGTACAATGCAAGAGCAAGAGTTGAGCGTCCTCGAATGGGCGCGAAGGCAAGGCGCTTGTATAGACTACGAGACCGAGCTGCTGCACATTGGCAGACTTCAGGTGCCAGCAAACGATGATTACGATCAGCATCTTCACGATCCCTCCGACGCAACCGTCACTACTGCCCTCAGCACGCTTATCAAGGAAAGGCTCACGTTGGATAAAGAAGCTGCATCACTCCTAAAGGCAGTGCATTCACTCCAGGAGGTTAATGCAACCGAATTGTCAGCCATCAGCAGCCGAATGTGGATACGCGATCTGAAACAAGAGCTGCCTGTGTTGCAGTCAGACCATGAGCTCGACTTGCTGAACTTTGGCAGTGTAGCTGTGCCAGACTTCAAGAACTTGCAAATACCCTCCGAGATCACTGTAGAGCAGAACGACGAGGGCCTCACATGGCCAGCCAAGTACTTCTCATATCCTGCCCAGTGCGATGCGCAAGTCAAAGCCGAAAAACTTGCCGTCACGAAGGAGGTATTGGAATATCTGCAAGAAGCTACCAGAGACGCATATGTACCGGAAGATGGCGAAAAGATTGAAGCCGAAAGTACCATACGGAAACAGGTAGGCAGAGTCCTTGGTGATGTCCGTCTGCTAAACGATGCAGAAATCAATCATCCGGCCTGTCACGCCACCGTTGCTCCCTTTGTCTCCGCCAATGAAACCTTACATACCATCCTCACCTGCAAATCGTCTACCACTGGCTTCGGACAGTAGTGGCTCGGTCACCGCTGAGGCACAGGCTTTGCACGACCAAATCATGGCGGCGGATTCCCTGCTTCCCGAGGGCTCAGACGGCAGCGACTCAATGCTACTCGATATTCCCCACACAGCCGCTTTCAATCCTCTCGAAGTATCCACCCTACCCATACTTAAACGCCGAGCCGAAGATCTCAAAGTGGAAGGCCCACTTACTCCACCGCTATTTTCCACTTCGCCAACGAAGAAGCTGAAGTCCGTGTCTTTTGCGGACACTCTACATGAGTATAGCTCGTACGTGCCATGGGGTCAAGACGTGATGACTGGTGAGGGAAAGTCCAGTGTTGAGTCCGACCAGTTCTTCAAAGATATCGAAGACCTGGCTGAGGAAGCGAGGAAGAAGGTTGAAAGTGAGAAGTTATCAGGCGCCGACACCATTGTAAGAGTGGATGTACCTGACGCTGACTTCTCACTACCTGTTGCACCATGGGACGAGTATAGTCAGCGTAGTGGCAAACATGGACCTGATGATACTGAACTCCAAGCACAAATGAGGTTCATGCTACGGATCAGGCATGAGGACTTGAAGTCTGCATCTTCGTGGCATGGACTTTCGGTCCCGGAGCGAGAGTTGAAATGGGGCTTTCTCAATACCAATGTATTCGCTCCAAGCCTCGAAGAAAAACTCCGTGGTGAATCAGAAATGACCAAGATCATCGCTGAGGTGGAAAACAGCAATATTGCGACCAGCTCCACTCAGGTGTGGAAGCGCGAAGGACTTCGGATCCTTGACGAAGACGAGGACGAGGAAGAGCTAGGTCCGGATGGAGATGAAGAGCGACAGAACATGGAAGCTTTGATACGCAAGCGAAAGTTGGAAATGGAGGAAGAGATGGAGGAAAAGCACCGCAATCGGACGTCCTCACAGCAGGCTGTACGCCAACAAATCCAGCCGCCCAGGGGCTTGCAGCAGAGCCACCACTTCGGAGGACGAGGGGCAGTGCAGACCTCAAGGACCCGGTCGAAGAAGATGGAACACGCCTCCAAAGGACTACAAGGGTCCATGGATGCGAGCGGTGATCTGATGTTTGGCGGATTTTTAGCGTCGACCGCTCTTCACAAGTTCATGAAGACGCGTGGAGAGTCCGTGGAGCCAGTGAAGATTAGTAGTACAGAAGCGCTCGATTTGAAAGGCCATGCTCAGTCCAATGCGTGCAATCTACCAGTCCAATCAAGAGGATCTGCTTCGCACAAGTCAGCAGTCCAAGGTCAGCAGGCGCATACCGTCAAGCCACTGCCGCCCACCGTTCCGAGCAATCTAGCACCTTGCTCTTTCGTGGTCTCCTCGTCCTTGCTACAGCAGCGAGGGGTACTTAAACACATCGAACAACTGTACCCAAAAGCAGAAATGGTGTATCGGGATTATACACTACCGCACTCCATAGCCGGTGAGGCCGAGATCATACTCTCTCCATCCACAGGCCTGATCTTTACCACTTTACAGGAGGTCAAACAAAGAGCCCTCCCTGGACAGCCAGAAAGATCACTGGTGAGGGAACGTGTGGCTACGCTTCAGTTACGGTACGAGAGATTGGTAGTTTTAGTAAGTGAGGGGCTGAGCCGTGAGATGGAAGAACTGGGCTCGAGTCGGCCAGACGACCCGCGTGATGCGGAGGCGCTCAAGACTTTTGAGCAGTTCGCTAGCATATTAGAGGGCGATGTTGTCGTTCGGTATGTCCGCGGAGGAGAAACGGCTCTCGCGTGCTCCACGGTGATGGAGATGGCAAACTACGGACTGCCCCATGGCTCAGTGGACATTGGCGACATCAAGCCTATGGCTCAGGAGACGAGCTGGGAGGTCTTTCTTCGTCGAGCGGGATTCAACCCATTCGCTGCTCAGGCAATCGTGGCGTGGCTCCAAAAACCCTTGAATGTGCCGGTGGCTCCTACTCTTCCCGCAAAATCCGTGTCAGCCGTTGGTCTTCCGCGCTTCATACTGATGGGCGAAGAAGACAGGGTGCGTTCTTTCCAGGCATTGATGGGTGGAAGTAGGATTCTCATTACAGCTAGCAAGTTGATGGACCAAGCATGGGTCAGCGCTGCGCATGGATTCAGGATGTGAGATGGAGAAACGATACTACGAATCTATAGGCATGCGATGTTCAGAAGTCACATGGAATGACTAAATTTAGAACATTAAGATTTTTTGCCGTCACCAACTGGCATTTCAAGAGACATTGGACGTGGGGTGAAGCTTGGACCAAGAATGACGCCGAAGCTACTCGAAGTATCGCAAAGGCAGCCACACCAATAAAATCTCATGACAAAGGCAGTCATTCGGCTTGCAGCCTTACTGGCATTTCGAGTAAACTTTCGCCTATAGACGAGCGGTCTCGGACGCGTCGAACATGTCTTCAGTCGGTGTCATCATCTCAGGTCGGCCTGTCGTAACCGAGCCGTCCTCCGTGATATCGCCTACCCAGTTCGCGTTCCAGATTCCTTCGCAACCGTCATTCTCCCATATCGTCGTGTTCCTGCTCCCGGGCGTCACACTGCCAGATGGCACCGCCGCCGCCGTATACGCGCAATTACCTGGCACGACCGACTTCAAGCTTCTCGGCGCGATCGCAAACGAGAAGCCCAGCGCGATATTCAAAGTAAACGCGAAAGCTGGTGGGCCCGCGGGTGGTGGTCTAGGCGACAGCGACGATGCCATGGTGGACGAGGGTGTGTCAATGGACGCGTCAAACGGCAGCACCGCACCGCTAGCTCTTGGAATCGCCGTCGAGCCTGCGCAACAGGTCGCCGCAGCTTTGGCGGAGAAGAAGGCACAGGATGCCGCGGCGTCAGCAATACCGAACATGGGCCAGGGTAACGAGCTGGTGCTTAGAGGGCAGAGGAGCGTAGAGACAAAGGTGCTGGCGCAGAGGATTATCAAGAACTGCTACGACTTCTTGACGAGCTGGGGTACAGGAGATACCGTGCCGCTGAAGGCATTCCAGGCGTGGTGGACCAAGTTTGAGGGCAAGATTGAGAGGGATCCAGGGTTCCTGGAGAGGAGCGATGGAGGTTGAGATTGAGCACGGCATGGATTATAAGACTGTACGATACGAAGCTCGCAGACAACCCCTCAAAACGCCTTGTTGACACCATCCCACTCTGGTTCCGCGAGCGCTGCCGCGTACATTGCATGCGGCCACGAAACCTTTGGCGCCTTCTCTGGCTTCCGCTTCGCCTGCTCCACTACTGCATCGCCCAGTACCTTTTCGATTCCCGCGCGCTCGTACCGCACTTCCAACTGCTCTCTCAGTGGCTGAAGCATTTCCCAATCCGCGCTCTTCCTCCCAAAATCTGTTACGACGGCGATGCGAACAAGTCTCGAGAGCTCGCCGATCCTCTCAGCAATTCCTGGGCTGGTATGGCACGCGATTGCTGTCCAGACATCATGCGCATCCGCTCCGTCGACGCCATGCGTGGACAGAAACGCGACTGCTGCATCGGCGCCCTCGACTTCGAAGCGCTGCGAACCATCATACTTTTGCGTGGTGCCAATATCGTGAAAAAGGCATGCCGTCAAGAGTAGATCGCGGCAATGGGCGTTCGTGAAATACTTTGACAATGTGTGTTTGGCCAATGCGTTAGCATAGAGATAGACCCTGATACTATGGTCGAGAATTGCTGGGTGTAGCAGACCAGCTGCATGTGCATATGCAGCTTTTGATATGTCTGTGTCAGGGTCCAGGAGATGCGAATACGTCCCGTCCTCTGGATTGCTGGCTCCGGCGATGGCCAGGTCGGATGGTGGGCACATGCTGCGCTACACGATATGAATGGTGATATAAATCAGAGCAACGTGCATGCGACTGAAACGTGTTTTGTGTGTCTCTTATAACTATAGACACGCTTGTCGTCTGTTTCCTAATCGGGCCACAAGGCGTGGGCGAGCGGGGCTAGCCACGATACCTCAAATTCAACGTCGAACGTCTCATCACGACTGCTAGCAGGCGCGCGATTTCTGAGCATCCCCGAATTACATACTTCAGGAATTGGAGTCTTCAGTCATGAACTTCGCCCCAGCTACCTACCTAGAGTTCTGCAATCTCCAGTGCCAATCGGCGATCATATTCTCCACACATGGCCTACACGAATACTAAAGCAAACCAAACGTAAGCTCTACGACTAGACGCCGGTAACGGCTATCAAGAAGAAACCCCCAGTCATCCGAGTTTGCTAACACGTCCTTGGCGTTCTTACTAAACACATCCTAGCGGATCCAGAGTGTGGGTTATCGCATGCAAGGCTCACTGATAAGACACGCTGACACGACGACGGATCTGGACGACTCGCATGGCCAAGAAGTTCAAGCCTTGCTACTACTCGTAGAATTAACTAATCGAGCTGCTTCTAGAAATACCAAGCACTGCATGACGACAGTGCCTTGACCGCAGCTCGACAATGATACGATAAGAGGCCGTGGAGATAGGCGTAGCAGGTTCGCCGACGGTGAGCTTGGCATGTGAACTGGGTGACAACAAAAGAGTATAAAGACTGGCTTCGGCTTGTTGTGAGTCGATTGTGATTCCAGCTACGTGCACATCCGGTTGGCAAGATGAAGTTCTCTATCCACCTTCTTCCTCTCTTCACGGCCCTTACCCTAGCATCGCCAATTGATCTTAGTCGGTCAAATCTCCACCGACTCTTCGTACGCCAGGATATCCAAACACCAATCAATGCTTCCCTTCCTAATGTCACCATCTTCGCAACCGGTGGAACAATCGCCTCGCAGGGTAGCAGCAATACTCAAACCACTGGCTACTCGATAGGTCTCGGAGTCCAACAACTCGTTGATGCCGTCCCAGAGCTCCTGAACATCTCGAATATCGCCGGCTACCAGATCTCCAACGTCGGCTCTGGTAGCGTCAATGAGACCATCAGCTTGAGCTTGGCGCATATGATCAATGCTGAGTTGGCCAAGGAGGAAATCTCCGGTGTTGTAGTAACGCATGGCACCGATACGCTCGAGGAGACTGCTTTCTTCTTGGAGAGTACGGTAAACTCCACTAAACCTGTCATCGTCGTGGGTGCCATGAGACCGGCGACTGCATTGAGTGCAGATGGTCCGCTCAACTTGTTCCAAGCAGTTACCCTTGCTGGATCGCCTGCCGGCCGGAATCGAGGAACTATGGTGAGTTTATGAGTCGAGATGCAGCTGTGAAGAGGTTGTTCTAACATTTTCAGATCGTCCTCAACGACCGCATTGGCTCTGCTTTCTACACCACAAAGAACAATGCCAACACCCTAGACACATTCTTCTCGACTGAAGCAGGGCAACTCGGCGTCTTTATCAACCAGGTCCCATACTTCTTCTTCGCACCCTCGGAGCCTGTCGGCCGCGTAGTCTTCGATGTGACCAATGTTACGGATTTGGCGTCCGTACCGATCCTGTACGCCCACCAGGACATGGACCCCTCGCTGTTCAACGCGTCTTATGCTTCCGGTGCTCAGGGCATCGTCTACGCCGGAGTCGGTGCAGGCGGTGTATCTGATAAGGCCGCTCTGGCTGCTGAAGAACTTTACAATGCCACCGGCATTCCGATGGTTGCCAGTCACCGGAGTTCAGACGGAATGGTACCAAACGGTGGCGACTTTACTATTGCAAGCGGGTTTTACAACCCGCAGAAGGCAAGGATCCTGTTGCAACTGGGACTCACCATGGGCTGGAGCGAGGAGGAGATTAGAGAGGCTTTCGCGTTGAGCTATCCTACACCTTAAGCGGTGGAGGGGTCTAATACATATGTTAGCAGACTTGACGAATTAATGAGACAGCCACAATGGCTTGAAAACACAATTTGCCATTCCATTCACTAAGTTGCGTGACGATGCCGCTAAGACGGGTACATCGGATAAGTCAGAGTATTGCTGTTGTTCGAACATGTCTTGCACTCGAATGACAAGTATTTGTCCGGTTCCGTATCCTCTTCTCTTCGAAATATGTCGTATTGCTGACAAAGGTGGATAACAAGTGAGTTTCAACGCGTAGAAAGAGTTCACAGTCCAACGATGTGGTGAGGCGGCAAGATACGAGATTGTCATGCTGGACAAAGTTTACAATAGGTTGCGTGGCAGGCTATGGCATTTCCTGGTGGCTGGTATCTAGACGTTGCTCCTACCAATGGGTTGCATTCGTCGTGGATTACAAAGGAAGAATGCGCGACACTACTCGGTCGGACTTCGCTGGGTTCATTGTGCGATGGAAACACCGCATACGGATGATTGCGCGATGCGGCGTTGGAGTCGTAGGTGCACAGCCTCCCAAACTTCAGGGCCAGATCTCGCTGCAGGGCCCTGCACGCCGACGTCATGACTTGGCGCTACCAAAGGAAGCCAACATCGTCTCCATAACTACGTCCATGGACCCGGTAATCATGATGTTAAGTTTCAATTCGAATCCGCAGTCATGTCGAATGATATTGCCGCAAACCGCTCGGGGCTCAAGGACTTTCTCGCATCTATAGCGACCATCTCGGGAGATCTTTCAAACATTACTGCGCCGCCTTTTGTACTAGCTGAGAATTCGACGGTTGAGATACCACAGTACTGGGCGGACCATCCGTATCTCTGGGCAGCGCCGGCGTTGGAAGAAGATCCCGAGAAGCGCGCGCTGCTTGTGCTGAAGAACTTCCTAGGCTCACTACGGGGGCAGCAATATGCGGGGCGAAAGGAGGAGGATGGCGTCAAGAAGCCATTGAACGCCTTTCTCGGCGAGCTGTTTCTCGGCAGCTGGAACACCGAGGAGCTGGGAGAGACGAGGTTGGTCTCTGAGCAGGTCGGCCATCATCCGCCGGTAACGGCGTGCTATCTGTGGAACGACCAAGTCGGCATCCGAGCTGAAGGGTTTACGGAACAGGAGATCACCTTTTCAGGAAATGTCAGCATCAAGCAAAAGGGCTATGCCATTGTGCATGTCGACAAGTACGATGAGGACTACCTCCTGCCGCTGCCGAATATAAAAGTAAAGGGTCTGTTGGGTGGGGTACCACATCCGGAGTTGTACGGCGAGTATTCTCTCATCTCGTCCAACGGATATATCTCGCACATCAAATTCGAAGGCAAGTCCTTCTTTGGCTCCGGGCATAAGAACGGTTTCGAAGCGAGATTCTTCCACGCAGATAGGCCCGATGAGACGATCTACACAATTGAAGGAGCTTGGAACAGCACGTTTACCATCAAGGACGCGCGGAATGACTCTGAGGTGGAGACGTTTGACGTTAGGACTATCAAACACAAACCCATGGCTGTGCCCGACCTCTCAGAACAGGACCCGTGGGAGAGCAGGAAAGCATGGGGCGACGTCATATCCTCCCTGCACAAAGGTGACATGAAGGGCGCCACCACAGCGAAGAATGCAGTCGAGAACGGCCAAAGACAGATGCGAAAGGACGAAGAGGCAAAGGGCGAGGAATTCAAACATGTCTTCTTCGATAAAGTACCCAACGACCCAATCTTCGACAAACTAGTCAAGCATGACCCTCAAGCTTACACCATCGACCCCTCGGGCGGCATATGGAAAGTCGACAAGCAAGCCGCGGAGCAGCGACAGCGCCCGTTCCATGGTGACCTGACACCGTCTAATCAGAGAGTAGCGCACAAGCAGGGGCAGCCGCAAGAGGGTAGACGATCAATAAATGGCCAGGACCAAGACAGCGGTGGGACTGCTGGTGCGGTAGGCTCGGCGAAGTCTTCCAACGGCTATGCACCGGATGCGCCGGTTCAGAACGGAGCACCAAAACCAGTCGGCGACGCAACGCCCCGTGACGAAAAACGTCCAGATTCGGCAGTGGGGAGTAAAGGAGATTCCCGCCGTCAGTCGAGTAATGCGATAGAGGTTACTGATGAGATGGTGGAGAATTTTTTGAGGGCCAAGACGAGTAACCTGCGAGTGTAAGTATGATTAGGGTGGAGATTTCTTACTTACTGGTGTCACTTGGACCATGCAGTTTTTCAGTACCCAAGCCGTTTAGTCCAACGGTCATACGCAGTGGACACCGCACTACTGTGGAACAGTTTCAACCTG